GCTCGTCCACGTTCATCTGTTTCACGAGTCTTTGATTTTGCTCGTCCACGTTCATCTGTTTCACGAGTCTTTGATTTGGCCCGTTCACGTTCTTCCGTTTCACGTGGCTTTGACTTTGCTCGTCCTCGTTCATCAGTTTCACGAGTCCTTGATTTTGCTCGTCCACGTTCATCAACTTCTCGGGTTCTTGATTTGGCCCGTTGTTCACGTTCATCAGTTTCACGTGGTTTTGATTTCGCGCGTCCTCGTTCATCAGTTTCACGAGTTCTCGATTTAGCTCGGCCACGTTCTTCAACTTCATGAGTTCTTGACTTTGCTCGGCCACGTTCATCGATTTCATGAATTTTTGATTTAGTTCTATCAGATCTTTCTCTAGATTTGGAATGCCTACGAGTTCTTTCAACAGGTTCTCTTTCTCTATTTCTTGAAGATCTATGATACCCATCCATGGAAGTTTCCCCAGTTTCTCTATATTTTGTATCTTTCTGTCTATACTTTAATAATTCATCATCACTTCTATCACGCATAGCATTTCTATTTTCTTTCTCAATAAACTCTCGCGGATGAGCATGAGATTCATATACATTTTGGATATTTTTTGAATATGAACCATGAGCGGTCGTTAGAGTACGGTGAAGCTTATTCGTTGGCATCCGGGACAAACCGGAAGAAGAGGCAAATGTTGGTGATAAAGCTCTTCTTGGAGAAGAAGAACCTTTAGTTTCATTAGAAGCTGTTTTAGAGGAGGGTAATGTTTTTAACGTCTTAGATCTCTTGAGAATGTAAGGAGTGTAAAGAGATCCATCACTCCCACTATCATCGTCATTATCACTACCACCGGATGAAGTTACATCAGTGCCATCACTATCACTCTCACTACTCGCGCCAAACATATTCTTTGTTGAACGCTTTTTACGAGAAGATTTTGATAGATTAACATCAGATCCTAAAGTTCATACATTTAAGGATTAGTAAATAAGGTTGATAAGAATAGTTTAAAAAAAATATTTCAATTCTTGTTTATATTAATCTATAAATAATAACATGGTTTTGTTCAAAATTATATAAAAGTTTGAATTAAAAATATTATAATATTTTTTTAATATAAAGTCTAAAAAATTAAATTTTAGAATAAAAAATAATTCTACAAATTTTTAATTTTTTTTTTATTTTTTTTAATATATAAATTACTGAAAAGTTTTTTAAACTATTTTTTTTTATTTTTTATATAGTAAATAGCCAAAATGAAAAAATAATATACCATTTTCTACTGCCATAGAGTGTAATTTTCCATTATGTATAGGTGTAACCGATTTGAAGTTGCTGTTTGGTGGTGGAGATCGACTAAGAAGTGCTGGAGAGTCAGAAGGTCGTTTCTGTTTCGAATTTGAACTAGTCTTTGGATAACTTTGTATGTATTCAGTGGATGAATATGTTCTGAGGGTTTGGATATTTCCAAGAGATTTTTTGCGTTTTAAGATATCAAACTTTTCATCACGTGCAAGACCCTAATGGTTAAATGAGGTCATGTAATTTATAGAATGAAACAAAATAAAAGTACCAAGCTTATGATGACTCACAGCGTTCAATTCTTCGTCTTGTCGTAACTGTCCAAACATCCTATCTAGTTGGCTAGTCATATTTCGTAAGTTAAAAGAAACCACATATATAAAAGCAGTATTTTCAAAATACTATATACAATGTATTAAATAAATATGAATGATCGAAATGACAAAATAAGAACTTGTATTAAATGGTATTAAAATGATCGATTAAAAGAAAATAAAAAAAAAAACAACAAAAAAAAAAATAATAAAAAATAACAGAGTAAGGAAGTTACAAAATGAACCGTGATTATTGACGATTCTTCATTTATTTTTGTTTGTTTTCATGCACCCGTACAGAAAAATAAAGTAGAGAAATAAATGAGCTACAGGCATATAACAGAACCTATATGTTTACAATTCCCGATTTTATATGATTCAGGCTAGGACACCATAAAATAGCAGTGACACCAGTAAGCTTAGATATCTTCGAATGTTCCAGATTGGTAATTATGTAACCATTGTTCTCCATTTACACTTCTTTTCGTAGGTCAACACTGCGACGCATATGCGTTAGCATTACTCTCAAATTTGCCAATCAAAGTTGATACAATCTGTTTTTGACATTGTGAGCGACAGGTAATTCATAAAATAGGAAAATAATTAAGTTGAGACACATCGGATTTTCTATAGTAACAATATATACGAAACCTTTTAAATTTAGAAATTGTTTGAGAAACAACATTCTTGACCTTAATTTGGAGAATTTTTATTTTATTTCCTGAAAATGATCCTTGTTTCATAATAATAAATACAGTATAAATCATATATTTTAAACTCAAAAATTTCAATATAAATTATAATTCTTGATATTTCTTGTTACAAATACTTAAGAATTTTTTTAATTATTTTCGGATTCAAGATTTTTTTCAAGGAACATTTTCCTTTTAAAATTATACATAAATAATTTTCATGAAAATAAACAATTATAAATTTGTTTGTTAAAAAAAAAATAAAAAAAAATAAAAACAAACCAAAATTACACAAACAATAACTGAATCTATTAAAGCATTTACTTATTGTCAGATTTAATTGAGTAATTTCGAATTTCGACCCTAGAGAGTTTTCTTTCTTTACCTAGCTGCTTGACGTTTACTTTTGGATTAAGTTGCTATAATTAATAATTAAACATAAGTGGCTATGATTAATTAAAACATAATAGGTACTGTACGTATGTACGCAGCTACGTATAATTTTGATTCAACAAATATGTGTGTAACTGTAATGGATTGATTTAGGTACTAATTAAATAAAAAGTTGATATCTGATATGCATATAAAACGCCACATCAAATTTGTATTTGCATCAAAATTCCAATAGGACTTTTTTATATTACTCAATTTGTTAATACTGCATTATGCGAATCAAATAAGATACATAAAATGAAAAGCAAATTAATTCAATGGAATGTGATACAAATTGTTTGCATACTCTCGTATCACCAAAAATACAGTTTTTTTTTTTTTTATAACTTCAATAGATGTACTTAATATGTAATGTTTTTCTATTAATAAATAAGATATGTATTAATAGTGTTTATATCTGAAATTGGATATATTTTCGAAGGGTATCGTGCCCAGATATTCGTGTAATGTAATCATATTTGTGAATGTGTCATTTTGGGCGATATATGTTATTAAACCATCTCTTTTCTCGTGCCTGCAAACAAAATAATTTTAAAGTTGAAAACAACAATTCGTGATAGCATAAACAAGAATTATGCATAGAGGCGTGTAAACAAAGGCGGCAATAATATCAAATAGTTTTATTTAAACAAAGCAATTTAATATCTTTTATTTTCAAACTGGGATAACAGAATAGAAACTAGAAATTAATTATGCGATATTTGATTGGCAAAATATTTGGTACGTACTGATTTGTACATATAAAATTTATTACAAATTCTTGCGTCTTTACTTTGCATTAGAGGGTTTAGCTATTTCTAGTATCTAAATTGCGTTAATATATAAGACAATGGAAGCCTCATAATTAAATTTAGCAAAATTTTCTTTATTTTAATTCTATGCTGTAGAATAAAAATAATAATGTAGTTATCGTGATTTCACTAGCACTATTTTAGATGCTAGAAATAGATGGAACGTTCTGCTTCGCGTAAAGATAATTTTAAAAATCTATATTATTTGCAATTAAAAAGTTGTTTGTTTGCTATAATAATCTTTCAAAATTCTTAAAAATATTTTATACTATTTTACTAAATAAAATGCTTAATTATTAAAATTTGTTATTTCTTAAACTAAATAGTATACAAATTTGTATAAGGTGAGATCATGCCTCTTGTCTTTTTTTTTAATTGTTAAGGTGACCTCTATATCAGTGATTTATTATTAGAATTTATGGTACTTTGCAAAAATCTGTCAAAATTGAACTTGCTAAAAATAAGCAATTTAAAGTGCTGATAATGTACTATTAAAATACAAACTTTTGCAAATCTAAGCACTTTATTAGCATATTATTATTATAATTTAATTTTATAAATATATTTGCCAATTATTTTGCTAGTAAAATGCTAATATTAGCAATATGTTATCAATGTTTTGGTAATAATAAAGGCCTAAAAATTACCATTATTTAACCAATTTATTAGGTATTTAAAAGTGCTGATAATGAAATAATCTTGTAATAAATTATTAAAATGGCTAACTTAGTATTAATAATGTACTTTATATGGCAAATTATTGGCAAATAATTGCATATTTTGAAATTGTCAGATTTTGCAAAGTAATTTTTACTATTATTATCATTATTATTTTATTTTATTTAATAAGATGAAATAATTAATATTTTATCTAGTCTAGATGATAATACTCTTCAACTCGATCCAACTAAAAAATGGACGGATATTAGTCGGCATGTGTTTAAAAAAACTATACTAGCAATCAAGTCAGCTTTGGAGGGTCAGTTTAGATATAAGGATATTAAACTTAAGTACATTCTTCAGCAACTTCATCGTCATCGACATGAAAAAAATACTATAGATTAGGATTCTGAAAAATCTAAAGCTGATAAAAAATAAAAAAATGTAAATAGACGACGATCTGAAGTAGATGTTAAGGTTGTTAAGTTTTTTTCATAGGAATATCGAGTTGCCAATATTAATTATAATTAATTTTATTAATAGAAAAAAAAAAGCGAATTCGGGATATTAATCATATAGTTAATTCAAACGATGATAACCTGATAAGACTTGCACCAAAAATGGATTTTGACGATTTTAAAGCCGATATTGAGGATATACTCAATGATAGAGATTATCATTCGGACGAACTTTTGAAAACTGATATAGAACGAACATTATCTGAAAAACGATTAAAAATTTACCCAAGAACAAAAATAATAATCATGTAATTTGTGTCTATAATAAGCCATGGAGATCACATAGAGTAAGTAACATTTTGTTGTCAAACTTTTTTTAATTTTTTTTTAATTTCTTAGATAAAATTATAATTTTCGTTATACTTTTTAGATTTATTTATTAATTTTT